AACCAAAAAAAAAAAAAAAAAAAGATGAAACCAGCTTTTGTTGGGCGTGGTGGCCAATGCCTGTAGTCCCAGCACTTGGGAGGCTGAGGCAGGAGGATCGCTGTAAGTTTGAGACCAGCCAGGGCTACATAGTGAGTTCCAGGTCACTCTCAACTGCATAGTGAGACCGTCTCAAAAAACCAAAAAAAAAAAAAAAAAGTCACACAAATGACATTCTAATGTTTCCCCAAAATTTCCTTCTTCTTTTTGATTTTGATTGCTTTACCTTCCCTTCCTGCCTTAACCTCTTTTCTTGCTCTTTTGGGGCCATTTTGATAGCAGTAATCATAGTTACTGTATAAAGTACTGACCAAAATCACACCCACAGACATGTACCTGTGATCTGAGACTGACATTCACACATACTTTTCTGGCATCGCAAGTCCTTGTTTACAAGCAACTGGCACTCAGGTTGTAACTCAAGACTTTTGTCCTAAGTTAAAAACTAAAAATCTAGGGTCGGGATTTAGCTTAGTGGCACTGCACCTGTCTCGCAAGTGCAAGGTCCTGAGTTTGATCCCGGTACAAAAAAAAAAAAAAAAAAAAATTCTGGTCATAACTCAACTTGTATGTGAGGCTGGGCATAACGTTAGGGTCCACTGTGTAAGTCAGTGGCATTAAACCTAATCACATTATTGTGCAACTAACATCACCATCCGGCTCCAGAACTTTTTCAACTTCTCAAACTGAAACTCTGGACCCATTAGGCACTGACTCCCCACTCCCCACTGCCTCCCCGCAAATCCCTGGCACCAGCACTCTGCTGTCTCAGAGTTTGCCTGCAGGAGAGGAATCATCCAGTATGTGTCCTGCTGTCCGGCTCATCTAGCTCAGCACGGTCTTACATGCCGCGGCATGCGTCCAAACGTCCTTTAAGGGTGAATGATGCCCTGCTCCGTGTCCGTGTCATTTACCCATTCGCCTGCTGGTAGACCAGGGTGTCCATAACCTTTCAGCTACTGTGACGTGTTCATGTCCACATACCTCGAACTCCTACTTTCAGTTCTTTTGGGTATGTACATATCGCTAAGTGGAACTCTTGGATCGTATAATCCTGTTACTGCACTGTTTTTAAAATTTTTGGTACTTGACAATTTGCCCTCCAAAACGGAAGTAATGGTCCTCTCCGTCCCTCTTGCGACACAGTAGCTTGGTAGCATTTCCACATCCATCTTTGTAGCACGGTATGAAAAGTAACTTAACTTGCATAAGCTGTGAGGCAGGGTTTCTTGCTGTGTTGCCCAAGTAGGATTCAAACTTGGGTTCCTCCTGCCTTAGCCTTCCAAGTGCTGGGATTACAGGTGTGTGCCTCATACCTGGCTAAAGATCATTTAAGTCTTTTGAAAGCTGTATTTGTCCTGTTTCCTGTATGCAGAATTTGTGTTCCTTGCCTATAAGGCTCCTGTTGTGGCCTTTTCTTAACTGATTTGTAGATGAGGCTTATAGCTTTGTCCTGGGTTGTACGTATTTTCCTGCTTACCTCTGTATTTTTTGTTTTCTGTGTGGCTAGGTTTGTCACTCTCTTCTGTGGTTTCTTAGTTTTGCACTACGTATAGAAAAGGTTTCTTTCAGCCTTCACGCCCACACAGAGCTGAGGATGTGTTGAGGTTGCGTGGAGGTCAAGTATGGGACAGTGGTGGGGCCTCAGCTCAAGCAGAGCTTTGAGCTTGTGAGCTTACAAACGCAGGCAGGGTGTGAGTACGCAGGGGATGGGACCAGGGGGAAAACAGGGTTCATGTGAACCTGTCTGCAAATTAAGTGATGACTGGGAAGTTCTAACTTTTTTATCTTTTCAGTATTCTATCTTCCCAGAGCAGTGGCAGCCCCCTTTTCCCAAGCAGCACTGCTAGCACCTTCTCGGGAGAAAATGTGGAGATCCAGGGACAGTCCTGCAGACCTTGACCTTGGGTAAAGAAAGAGACCTGGGCACTTTATTCTGAAAGGTTTATTTTGGTCTAAGAAGTAGAAATTCAACTTCATTTTCCACCACCACTTTTCCACAGCTGATTGAAATGCCAAATTCTTTATATATATATATATTTAAATTCAACTTTTTTCCACCACCACTTTTCCACAGCTGATTGAAATGCCAAATTCTTTATATATATATATATTTTTTTTTAATTAATTTATTTTTTTTGTCCCCATCCAACAGCTATTTACTGGGCAGGAGATGCTGGTGCCCTAGACCACGGTGGTAAGCAGTGGGGTGAAATGGTCAGACTGAGAGATTTCCTAATGGATTGGAGAGGAGGTGAGAGGAATCAATAGCTACAGAAGTAGGCCTGCAGCACTGGAAAGATGGGGTTACCATCTGTGACATGAGGAGACCGTGTGGTCTGGCCGTCCGTGTGGGATCTGTCGAGCTTGAGGTGGTTGTCAGGCCTCTAGTGAAGATGCCTGCCTAACTACAGTGGGATGTTCAGGTCGGTATCCCTGGGGCAGGTGTGGCCCCTCTGCATGGAGGTGACACAGGCAGCATGGAATCCAGGAAAAGTGAGGGAGGAGGCACAGAGCTGGAAGAGGCCCCGAGTATGCCACCAGGAAGTGGGAATCAGGAAGGGCAGCTACTGCTGCTGACCAACTACGGCTCAGCAGAGGAAGCCTGAAAGCCGGCTGCTGGCGGGAGCTCCAGGGGAGACTGAGGACCTTGACAGGTACAGTTTCCTTCTTGTTCCTCTTTCCATCCCATCTTTTTGTTCACAAAAAGCACCAAATTCTTGTAATTTCTGGGACTTAAGGATAGAGACCAGTGTGTGGTATACTTGTTACACTCAGTCATCAGAACTGTTCTACTATTGAATGTTTATTTTTCCATGTAAATTTTGGAGTCAGATTGTCTACTTCTCTTACTAGGGTCTCATTAATCTACCTTCTATCTTTACAGCAGTAGAATTTCTGTCCAGGACATCTCCCCACTCGTGAGAGAAGTGGTCCTTACCTGTCTGCAGAACAGCCCTCAGATGTTTCTAGCACCAGGGAGAAGCCAGGACCCTGCTGGCCACCCTACAGCTCAAGGGCCTGCAGTGGGGACTTGCCTGATCCAAAGTACCAGTGTGCTGCACTGGAGAAGCCCAGCTTTGGATGCTAGCGATTGGCTCTTCACCAAGGCTGTTCTGTGCCTGTTCTTGTTCTATGCCTGAGTGCTGAGATTTTTCACCTTCTAAAATGCTCTCAGATAGTCTTTTGTTTTTGCTTTTTGTGGAACTGGGGAATAAACCCAAAGCCTTAACACTAGCACTGTATTCCCAGACCCTCACCTTTACTTTTAAGTTTTGAGGCATGGTTGCTAAGTTGCCTAGGCTCAAACTTGTGATCCTCCTGCCTCAGCCTCCCAGAGTACTGAGATTACAGGCATGTGTCACCATGTCTGGCTCAGAACACTCTTAAAAAAGAATATTGTTTGTATCTGCCCAGTAGCTGATCTCCTTCTGTATTGTGTTGGTATCCAAGGTATCCAGCAACATCACAGATGTTAATCAAGCCAAATTTGGACTTTGCCAGCTTTCCTCACAGCTGTAGTAAAAAGTCAGTGACCTGGGCTGCCTAGTGGATACACTGAGGGAGAAGCTCTTTGAGAAGACCACCCAGAGTCCTCTGTCCCTGCTGGAGCCTGTTTCAAAGGCCCCACTGGTGGTTGCTGACCCACTGGCACAGGTAGGGCTGCCTCCAGGACTATGGGCGCTGACACATCCTCTTCATCACTGCAGCTGACTTTCCACATTCTCTGGCTGAAGCCTGGTGATACCCATTGCCGATACCTTGAGTTCATCATACGTGAATCACCCCAGAAGACACCGAGATTTCTAACACAGATCTGAGCCCTTTTACTTCTACAGACTTCAGTATGAAATTTTCCAGAGCCGAGAAGGATGTGACCAGGGAGGCACAGGCTGCGATGGAGGCCCCAGTCCAGTGAATCGGGCTCCACTCAGGCACTGCAGGCCTGGAGGTCATTCTCAAGGCTTCTTCAGAGTTTCATAAAATGAAAAGAACCCACATGTCCAGACTGTCCCCAAATCTAGAGCAACTGAGGAAGAGGGAGACTTCATTAATTTTCAGCACGCTCCAAATTCCTGGCCTTCACTCGGCTTGGGCTCACCAGAAGGCCTCTGCCTCTGGTTCTCTGGGAGGGCACTGCTCCAGTGCTCCGTGCTCTCCCTCATGTTCCCTCTCCACTGTGGATGGGATGACAGTAACTTGGCCTGGAGCCTCCTGGGGACCCAGGGCCTGCTCGGAGGGACATACGCTGGGAGGTGTGGCCCCTCCCCCTCATGCATCTGCCTTTGTTTCTAATCTCTGTGCACTGTTCCTCACTGGTAACCTTTGTCAACGTGGGGAAAAACAAAAGGAAAAAAACAAAAGAAAACCCTCAAGTCACCAAGTTAGTGTCTGCTTTCCCCAGAAACAAGACTTTGTGGACATGCAGGATCCACTTGAGATGGGCTCCCTCAGGGGAGACCAGGAGACCGCTGACTCAGGGTTCTGGCTAGCTACAGCTCAAACGTCCAAAGCTGGGAGGACTCAGATATTTTGTAAAGTACTGGGAGACATTCAGACACAGTGAAATATAGAACAAGAAATATTTCAAAACGTAGCTGAACAGTCTGAGAGAAATGCCTTGAAAGCAGGGATGGGTAGAGGAGGGAACTCTGGTGAGTATGACGATATTACAGTGCTTGGACTTTCCCTGGATCCCATCCCGCTGGGAAGGCTTACTCCTGGTGGCCCTGCTTTTTAGGACTTATCTGCTGCCACCAATTAAGCTTTTTGTTTTATGTCCACAGGGCTTGATCAGTTTCCATAGCAACAGGCTCTGGTTCACACTGAGCCTAGGAGAGATGTGCAGAGCTCAAGGGAGGCACGAGCCCTTTCATACTGGATAGTTTCTCAGAGGCAGGCTCAGGTCAAAAGTTCTTGGCATTTTCCAGATCTTTGGTAGATCTAGTAGCAGTGCCATACACCAAAATAAGTAATTCCTTAAATGTTAACCTCTGTTTCCACAAAATATTACTTTTTCCTTAAAGAGGAGCCCAGATTCAGAGACTCCTAATACAGCAATTCAAATGAACATAAAAGGTCTTGGCTCATTTGATAAGTATGTATGATCAATACAAGAACAAATCTGAAAGAAAAAAATCTTTAGCTGATGTGAATGAACATTAACCTTGGGATTCCAGTTTTTTCTTAGGAATTTCCAGTTCCTTTTACCATTTAACCACACAACTAATACACCAACCCTTCCTGCTGGTTCCAACTGGTCCTGGGCTGGTCCCTATTTTCTGTGGTGTCACCTGGCAGCAGTCTGTGCTGTGACAGGAGCTCCTTGGTGGTAGTGAGTAGTCAGTAAAGGAAGCAGGGCATCAGAGCCAGGACTGGACTTTTTTCACAGGTGGTGCTGTCCTCCACCACACCCCACCGCTACTCTTTCCTCTCTGTCTGGGTAGGCAGAAAACCTGAGGGATCCTGACTCCTGGATGAAGAATTTCTTAGGGAAGCAGGACAGTGCCTTTGTCTTAGATCTCAGAGGATGAAAAGAAATATGTTATAACCACCTGATTTCCTAAAAAATAATTTGTGGAAAAGGGCTAAATTGACTGGTGGTTCAAGATCAATTTCTTGGTCCAAATGTTTTCAAGTAATAGTTATGCATTTTGGCTTGATATGTGTTAAAAACGAATCTGTCTTCCTTCTCAAGTAACTCTGCCTTGCATCCTGGGCTAGGTAGGTTAAGAGAACGCCCAAGGCACAGCAGTAACTAGTAAGTGAGTTTAAGTCCAGGCTAAGGCACATGGCTTCTCATTTTGGTAAAATACATACCACCAGTTCATCCCAACTCTGTACACGGCCCAGGCCCAAGATATGTACAGCTCAATTCACAGCTCAAAGGACTTAGTCCACAAAGCTGTGGCCTTGGCAAGTCTGATGCTCCCATGCCCTCAAACATCCACATGGTCTGCTCTCCTTGCTAGACCTGAGCTCGCAGCTCTTGAAGGAGCTCTCTGGCCAGTTTTGCTGACCCGGGGGCTTCACTGCGAAGATGATCCCATCTGTATAAGGTCTGGTCAAGAAAGCTGATAATCTCGTAAGTCATCTCATCAGTGCAGGCCATCTGCAGTGAGAGAAAAGAGAAGGGAAATTAACACTGTCCAGCAGATTCCTCTCTGTCCAACAGATACCCATAGTGACCCTCTCTCTGAAGATCACAGTATTTCTACGAGGTCCGAAGGAAAGCTTCCAGGGCCAACAATTTCTTTGTGAGCACAGCAAATCTGTGCTCAGAGGCTGGCTACACCGTGAGCCAAGGCACACACTGGTGACCACCGTCCCCACATCAAGGTTCTACAGTCAAAGCCTTGGCTTACAGGGCAAAACATGTGCTGCTCAGAGACAGAAGCATTTCTGGAATGTCAGTCACAAGCTCTGGGATTATTTACCCTAGGGAGCAAAGGCAGAAAGCATGCTGTGGCTTGACTTTCTGCAAAAGGCTCACACTACCATGAGAATTGGAAAGTGCAACCTGTTTGCACACAGACAGTCTGATCAGTGGCATTCCTGGGCCAGCAAACCAGCCCACTTGCTTTTCAAAAGGCATCTAAAGTTTTAGCACCCGATTCCTGCAGGGAAGCAGGAAAGAGGCATTGTTAGTACAGCTAAATATGGCCTCGAGGCGTTACTTGTTGTTGCCCATATTTTCCTAAGAATTTCAGTTGAGAAAAAAGGGAGGGGAGAAAAATCTCACAAGTTAGCTGTGCATGCAATTTATTGGTAGTTTTTTTTTGGTAGGGGGTTGGATACAAGCAGCATGAAGAAGCCCCAAGTTTTGGAAGAGTGATCTACACTTTTGCTTTGTGTGTGTCTTGTTTATATAGAAGAAATGTTCATCCAGAGTGGCCCCGGGTCAGTTTCCTCTTGTACTCTGCATGGGTGCTTCGGGTGGGTGATGGCCACTTCAACAGAGCACTCTGAGGCAAGAAGGTGACCCAAAGGCTCTAAAGGGACAGTTACTGTGCCTGCCATGGGGTGTCCTGCCCACTGGGAGCCAGATGCCAGGCCCAGGCCCAGGCTCAGCGGTGACTGCACCCTCTGAGCTCACAGAAGAGGCCCTGGGATGTGACACCCATGCTGTTGAAGAAGGACCAGGTGGCCAGACCAGGGCCCCTCCAGGGCTCGCAGGCAGGAACCAGCAGGGGCCTGTGCAGTGAGAAGCCCGTGAGTGGAGGAGCCACCTGCCCCTGGAGAGGATCGGGGCACTCCGCACTCCTGCAGCTCCGTGTTCAGATCAGCAGCACTGCTGTGTGATGGGGAAGCAAACTGAACTCGGTGGTGTGACCCAGTGGCTCCTCTGTGGGTGACCCCAGCCTGGCCACCTGGCATGTTGACAGTTTCCCCTGCTAGCTGAAACTGGATGGAATGACTGAGGCAGGACAGCAGTGTCCTAGAGGGGCCTTCTCTCACCCTGGACAGGGCTCCCACTACTCACAAGGTGATAGCACGCAGGATTGCAGCAGCAGGCTACAGGGCGTAATCCCGGCAGCAGGGCTGAGGTTCCATCCACAGCTCTTGTGGCATAAGTAGGGGTCAGAGTTCAGGGGAAGAAAATGCCAACATTTTCATGATCCACAGTTGTTGTTGTTGACTTTCAAGTTTAGATTTACAGTGTCAGTACAGATGTCCCATTTACCCAGACCTGTTCCCTCCTGTCACTATCGCATATTAGTGTGACACACAAGTCACGATTAATGAACCCGTACCGATGTGTTGTTACTCCAGTTCAGACTGCACTCTGATTCGCTGTCTTTCTCTGCTGCTCTTCTTTGTCCCGGGACCTATGCATAAGACCATGTGACACTCAACTGTCTGGCTTCCTTTAGCTGCTGGTGGCTGTGTATGAGTTTCTCACACTTTTCTTGTTTTGATGATCTTGATTGATAGTTTTGAGGCATTCTGGTATTTAAATGTCAATAAAAAGTAAAAGCAAAACCAAAAATAAACTCCCCAAGCCAGCATTGTTGGTGCTTACCTTTTTTAAAAATGTAAAATATGTGTAACACAAATCTGTAGTCTGACCATTTTTACAGCTCAGGACGGTGATGTTCACAGGGTAGCACACCCATCACCGTCATCCAACTTTAAACTTTTTCATGTTCCTCAACTGCAATTCTGTACCCTTAAAGACACTAATTCCTTATCCAGCAAACCCCTGCAAGCTCCAGTCTACTTTGGTCACTACTTTACGTACTGTACCTCATAACTGGGATCATACGGCACATGTCCAGTGACTGGTTTACTTAGCGTAGCGGCTTCCAGGTGCAGCCACATTACAGATGCACCAGAACTTCTTTCCTCTGTACACAGAGAGCACACCTGGTTTACCTTCTCACCTGCTCACGGACTGAAGTGTTTGCACCTTTTGGCTACTGGGTATAATACCAATAAGAACAGCGCTGTACAAATAACTGTCCAAGCCCCTGCTTCCATTCTGTGTATAGATGTGGAAACGGATCTGCTGAGCCCTAGGATCCACGTGTAACTTTCTGAAGAACCACGAAACTTTTCCACAGTGGCTGCACCACACTAATACTCCCAACTGGAAATGGATGAGTATTCCAATTTTGGAACATGTTCACCAAGATTTAGTCCCCTTTTTCTTCTGCTGATAACGGCTGTCCTGATGGGTGTGAGGTGAGTCTCAGTGTGGTTTTGATTTCCATTTCCTAATGACCAGTACTGACAGCCAGTTCCTCTGTTTTTCCTTTCGTTGCCTGTGTCCTTGGTGCCAGATCTAATGTCACGAATGGTGTCACTTTTGACTTGGAGCACTCTTCCCCTTCCAGTCACCTGGGCTTCAGGAAAGGTTCATTTGTAACTGATTTTTCCTTGCGTAAAACGCTGAGCGCTGTGGCTGCTGCGTGGCTGCTCTCAAGTGCACTCTCACTACAGCCTGCTTTTGTCCCACGCGGAGGAGCTGGCAGGGCTGTGACAAGGGACAGGAGGGCTGGCTCTCACCATGGGTCCTGTCAGCAAGCCAAGTGGCCTGCAAGGTAGTGCTCCTGGCTCTGTGCCTTTGCTTTCTCCTCTGTGATCTGCAGGTGTTGCAAGGGAAGGCCTGGGTCCATCCCAGCTGTTCCCCTCCCTGACCCTTCACTTGTGTGGGAAAAAGCATCCCAGGCAATGCTTCCCAAAGCCGTGACCTTTGTCAGATAATCCCATACACCCTGTCACCTGGGCGGACTGGGATTGGAGAAGAAAGGGATACTTACCAGGCTGATGGCTTCCCGGGCAATTGTATGGCCTCCCGGAGCCCAGAGCAGGAAGTTTAGGAGCAGGTGCCTGATCAGCTGTCTGCACGCAGACTGTGTAGGGTCTGCACTGCTGCCTTTTCCAGTGGCTGCCTGCAGTTCCTCAGCAGAGACAGGAGTGCTTCTAGGCAGCATCAGAAGTTGGAGGCGGCTGAGCACTGCTTCCACCTCTGCCTGGGCAGTGGGATTAAGGAGAAAAGAGAGATTAGGGAAAAGCAGGACTCAGGGGCCACTAGTGCAGTGATGGTGAACCTTTTACAGGTTTCGATGATAAACAGCACACTGCCACCACTCCTCTAGGCTCTGCTTGTGCTTTGAAGCAGGCCCCAGAAAGAGACGCCTGGGGCTCCAGAGAGGAGTCAAGGCCCAGTTCACACAACGCTCAACACAAACCCAAATGGGCATGATGGAAACTTCTTGACTTTCTTTTTGTCTTGCTCACCAAGCAGCCAGGGCACCATGCCAGGAATTGACCTTTTTCATAAAGAATGGAAACAGAAAAGTCCCCCACAGAATGTAGTCAAATTTTTCCTATATTGTGGGAAAAAGAACAAAAGGTTCCTTGAAGACTTGCCTCACACTAGGCCACAAATCAATTAGAGCGCAGCAGCCTTGGCTGAGCCAGTGTGGGGAGGGCCATTCGGACCTGCCTCCGCCTCTGCCTCCACCTTGCCTTGCTTCTCAGACACACACACACACACACACACACACACACACACACACACACACACTGCCTGTTTTGTTTTGATTCAGACACTGGGACAGTCTGTGCATACATGTTTAAAGCTCAAGTAGAGATCACAAGTCTGTGGAATTCACATAATAATGGTAACTGTTCTAAGTCTGTGTATTTTTTTACATAAAAAATATTTATTTCATGCTGAGTCTTCTGCTTGCTATAAGTATGGTGCATCAAGTCGTGACTTGGAAGACAAAACAAAACCTGAAAACCAATAGATCCAAGATTCCACATGGAACTTATAACAGCTATGTTCCATCACTTCTGAAAGAATACTGTTCTGAGAGTTCCCATGACCAGAGTTGCTTTTTTCCTGGGAGCGAAGGCCTTACTCCATGCTGTCATAGCGGCAGCACACTGGGGCGTTGTGTAAGCTCTCTGGACCACAAGCGAGGCCGTGAGAAACACCACCATGGGGCACTCCCACGCAACGCGTGGCATTCCCACACCCACTGTGTCCGCCTGCCTTCAGCTGATGGTACTGTGTAAGTGGGTTTGAAGAGTGGCCAGGGCTCAGGAGGCTACGTCTTTATGTCCATTTCCTTCTTCACTGGCTTTTGGTTTCTCACTCTTGTCTAGTAGCCCCTAAGAAATGGTCTTCTTTTCTATTTTGTCCTGGACTGATGTTCTTGCTAGTGCCTTTCACGTCCAAAAGCTTTTGTATGACATGCCAGTATTTTAAATGCTTTCCAATTTTTTTCAGGAGAAAGGCATTAGACTTCTTTTGTTTTCTTTTCAAAGTATTGTTTTTATTGCACATTATAACAATTTATATATGCTCACAATAGAAAAATTAAAGAGATAAAAATTTAATCTACAACTCTGTCATCAAGAGTTAATAATAATGCTTTCTATGCATTGAAAATATACTGCTCACTATACTTGTCTTGTATCTTGTATGTTTTTTTTTTTTTTTTTACAATGTACCATGAGCAATTTACCATACTACTGCATGTATTCTCCAGTAACAAGATTAGGATACAGACAACCACCTTACTGTTAAAAGTTTAAGCCATTTCCAATATTTGCAGTTATACACAATGCTGTAATGACTATTCCCATACATAAGTCTTTGTATCGATCTCTTTCTTTAGAATGATTCCTAGAAGTAGAACGCCAAAGGTACAGGGTTTGAATCTAACATTTGCAGGTCTTCATCATGCTCCAATTCACTTAGCAAAGGAGATGACACTGCTGCAGAGAAAGTGGCCTGCCAGAGAGGGTGTCCTCTGGACTGGATGTCAAGCTGTCAGCCTGTTCCTGCACACGTCGGAACTGAGTGACTCGCCATGTGCGTCCCACAGGAGTGGTTTCATTAAGCCTTTTAAGTAACACCAAGGCCCAGGTATTTCCAAGGTCCATCAAGTCACACACTGATCATACTTTTCAACAAAGTTCACAGTGTGTTCTAAGGTCACCCGACAGACCCTTAAGGGATAAAGCTCACAAAGCTCAGGGGCACAGAGGTATTTATTACTAGTTAACCTCAGTGTGCTTCCTCCCAAGATGTCACACACAGCGATGCCTGAGGTCAGGCACTGAGGAGGGACCAGTTCTGTATTACAGACATGAAGCTCTGGCTTCAATCACAGGCAGATGGCTGCCTCTGATGGGACAGCCAAGAATGCCAAATGAATTAATCCACTTTTATTCAAGATACCTAAGCATCTCCACATCTCCTAAGTAAGAACTATGTATAGGTTTATTGAAAGAAAGAAAGAAAGAAAGAAAGAGAAAGAAAGGACCCAAGTTAACTAGTAAAAAGCTGTGCCAAAGCAAAAGAAATTTAACCTTACTGGACAATTTACTTCATTTTACTTCAAACGCAAATCATTCTTTGTCAGTGTCTACGATCCACGTGGAATCTAACACGTTTACCAACTTAAGTTTATACAAAATTGAATATGAAATTCATATAGAAGTCATGAGTGCCTCATATATGCTATTACTGTTAAAAATAAGATGATGAAAAACATAAACTAGAGTTTTTCCTTAATTAGTTTAATGTGATATTTTAAAGAGTATAGCAGGCTTTGTTTTTAATCAGATAGCAATCCTCAAATACATATGTGGATTATGAAGAATTTTTAAATGTCTTATTTTGATCCAAAAAATTATCCTTAAATTTCACCTTTTTAAAATTTAAAACTTTTTCTTTCCCCTGCCATCAAGCTTTTAAACAAATGAAATATGCAAACATTTGTACTGGCCTCTGCTTTTTTCAAAAAACAGAAAATACAAAGCAAATAAGAGCATTGTTCTGTACATAATGAAACCTGTTCCTTTTAATTATTAAAATTAGCCCGAAACACTGGCAGTTGAAGTTTTAAAAACCAGCAAATAAATGTTTGCAAGGGAGGTGCCAGTGCCTTTAATCAAAGCACAGCTTCCTGTAATTATTGTACCCCACATAAAATAACAACAGCCTTTGCCACAGCTACCCTATCCTGTACTTAGCTGCTCTGTTATTTAGCAAATGACCAAGTCCCTCCTCAGAAGTAGAGTGGCTAACATCACGTGATCATGCTAGAAAGTGGTCTGAACAGAGCTGGTGAGGGGAGGCCCTGCTGACTGATCAGAGGGTAGCAGGGCATCCAGGCTGAGGGTGGGAATGAGAGACACCAGCAGACAGTGGGCTCTGCCTGGAAGGAGTGTCAGCCCTGTACAGGATCCCTAGGGGGAATGAGGCCGAGGGCAGATGGCTGCTGAGCAAGGGCAGGCGGAAGGTCCCAGGAGAGGAAGCCTGAAGGCACAGGTAGCATCAGTTCTCCAGTCCATGCTGCAGTGGCAGGAGCACAGCACTGAGCACAAGGCAGCCATGTCCCTGGTTGTGCATACGAGTATCTACTGGTTCTTAGACATACGCCTTGGCCGCCCAGAGCTCTGGGACCAGGGTCAGTAGTAGGCAAAGCTACCTGGGTGCCTCCCCGCTCCCGGCCTGTCACGTACCATGGCCTGTGCTCTCCGCTGACTTGAGTCCAGAGGCCTGTAGTAGAACGCCAAGAGCCACAGCAGCGCCGCCACAGGGGCTTCTGTTTCTGACCTCAGTAACTGCTCAGCCGCCATATCAGCCCAGCCTCCGAAGTGAATGAACAAAAACCAGCTCTCAAAGGGGGCGCCACAGGACCTGGAACAAAGCCAGACACATGGCAGCCAGCAACCTCACTGCTTTTTCCTTTTGGTTCTTTTATTTTGTTTTTTAACAAAGGGTCTTGCTAAGTTGCCCAGGGTGGCCTCAAGCTTGCAATCTTCCTGCTTTAGCCTCCCAACTCACTGGGATTACAGATCTATGCCACTGTGCCTAGCTTTCTTTTGGTTCCTAAAGCAACATCAATGTCTGTAAATGACTAACAAACTGTACTGACAGTGAAGCCTGGCCTTCAAGGAGCACAAGTTAAGAAACTTATCTGAGTGCCACTTGGAACCAAATCACAGGTCATTCATGTGGGAGGCCTTTTGGACAGTTAAGTCTTTATATCTAGGTACCTTAAGGAGATCGGAGGTTGTGACCAGCAGGAGCAATGCCAGATGGCACCCCTGCCTTCCACATGAGAGTGCCACTGGGCTGAGGTGGAGAGTGCTGTCTTCCAGCCATAAGGGCAGGAAGGTGGTGCTACAGGAAAGGAGGGAGGTTCTGGGAGTCCTGATGAAGATCCAGAGAAAGTCTGCCAGCCTCCACAGGCAAAAAGGTACCCCTCCCTTTCTGACAAGACACCTGCCTCTGCTGGCCTGAGGAGTAACAGGAATAGGAGTGTCTGGGTTGACCTGTGGTATCTCCATGCTGGACTTGCCCCACGTCCCTCTCCTTGGCCCATGGGATCTCCCCTCTCTAAGCATCTTTTTGGCCCTGCTGTCTGCATTCTTCCTGAGAACATATGATTAAATGTTCTGAGATGGAGTTTGTAGGGAGGAAAAGGAAGGGTGGGAGTCAGCCTTGTTTCCTTATCCCTAAAAAAGGGGAAGCAGCTCGCCAACAGGTCAAGCTAAAATAAGAAGGCCACGCTGGCCACAGGTGGCGCAGATGTCTCAGAGTGACAGGGGTTCCCCATGTTCTCGCTGGAGCTGATCTCACGACAAGCACACTGAACACAGGTCCCACTTCCCTCCCATTCTTTTTACTAAGTCTTGCCTGTGCCTGCCCATCCATGTGACCAAGAGAGGACAGTGACTATGCCTCCTCTCAGAGCTTCCCACAGGGGGTTCCCAAATGTAGGTGAGGGCAGGCGCCCACGAGGTCAAAGGTCTAGCTTTGTTCTCCTACAGGGACAACAGGAAGGCTGTACTGGGGCCGACGGCAGGTGGTTAATGCAGCTGGCACACTGCTCCCTATGTGGCCACCAGTTTTCTTCCCATTTGTCTCCTGTTGGTCAAAACCCTGGTGGGGAGGACAGAATGGCACCAAGACCCTCAGTGAGTATGGATACAGGGCACCCACCATTCTATATGCTGGCTCAGAAATGAGACCACAGAGTCTGGAAAGAGAAGGGTCAGAAGAGGGACAAATAAGATAGCCCCAGTAGGCCAGCACACACAGTGAATACCGTGTCATCTGTCAGAGGACACCGAAGAGAGAATGCAGCAAGCCTACATGCGAATGCTTTTGGGAGGACAGCGCACATAAGAAGACAGCATGTATAGGGGCACCGAATGCTGTGCCATTAAGTATTATGCTAGAATTGATTTTCCAAGTTTGGAAAAATATTGACTAAAGAAACAGGCTGGGGATTTAGCTCAGTGGCGCTGTGCCTGCCTAGCAAGCACAAGGTCCTGAGTTCGATCCCTGGTACCACAAAAGAAAAAATAAGGTGGGGGAAAGGAAACACAATACATTAGATGCCCCTCTTAGTGGGAGGGAATTCAGTCTAGCGGTCTCAGAAGACTGAGAACCAGAGATGCCTTTACATCTACATGGCCAGGGCCCCCTGCATGTGGACACTGCTTTTTTCTAGGACCTGTCCTTTCCATCACTGTGCTGTAAAGCATGATCTCACTCACAGCTGGCACGATGCAGGCCTGTACATGGCAGGTGACACTTCTGCTTCCTGCCTTCCATGGACAGTGATAGCGCTTACCGGGCTGCTGAGTGTTCAGGAAGGCCTTCACCTGTCAGTCAGGGAAGAGTGGGGTAAAGGGAAGCCACCTGCAGGTTGGCTTAGGTGGTCAGCGTTTGCTCACCCACAAGGCTGGTCTTCCACGACTTCTTGGAGCATCCGGGAAATACGCTGCAGAAGCTGGAGGCGGCATCCCTGGGGGGTGTCTGCAGGGCAAGGAAAGAGTCAGGGGTCAGAGCAAAGGCCAACCCTACCAGAACTGTCTGTGGATAAGGTGGGAAATGCCTGCGGGAAATGCCTTTTTTTTCCTGGTTTGTGGAACCCACTTCCATGCTTGCCAGCCAGGCTCTCTCTCTTACCCTGGGGAAGAAAGACCATCAGTATTAACCACAGCTAGATATCAACACATCTTTAACTTGGGTTTGTGGCAGTAGATACCAACTACATTAACTGCCCACCCTGGGACTTCAAACTGCCATGTTGCTGATGTACCTGATTTCCTTTTCTACCTACCCACCCCTTATACCACCCATAATAATTTGTGATTTCAAAATACATAGACATGGACTAAAACCATAAAGGAATGAGGAATGTACTGCCCAACTGTTTAACATGTCTTTGGGTCGTGATCAGTTCAGAATATGATTTCAGATTTACAGTTAAGGACACAAGGGCAAACAACAAAACAAAACAAAACATGGGCATTATGCAAACAAGTATCTTTTCCAGGGTAAGGTTTTTTGGTTTGACAGTTATCCTGTGACTTTAAGCACATTAAGCATGCATGCATCTGCAGTTCTAATCAACATCTGAAAAGGTTTTCATGTAGTCACATAATCAGATACACAAGACAGATACCATAGGGAGGACTCACTCTTCCTCAGTGTCACAGACCACGGGGCGCCTCAGAGCACATTCTCTTCAGAACTCCCATGACCCTTAACTCATAGCATTTGGGAGGCATTTTAAATTTTCTTCTTTTTACTAGTTACAGAGATACTTTTTGATGTCCCCTCTTCTTATGGATCTTGTATAGTCACAGCTTATGAGTGATCATCTTTTATGCCCTAAGGCCTCACTATAGTCATAAAACAAAGTTCTGATGAGTAGGAGATTTTACTATAAAAACCTACTTGCATTTGTGAACAAAAGCAATATAAGCAGGTGACGGTTCTAGGAACAGTACAGGAAGCTCTGTGCTTCTGCTCAGTGCCAACTCTGCGTGTGGGGCAGATATCCAGCACAGTCGTGAGTAGAGAAAGGGAGACAGGCCGAGCGCATGCCTCACCACGTGGTCTTTTGGTTTTAAGTATTTAAACTTAAGGAATCTCAACTCCAGTCCATCTCTTGGAGCCCAGTCAGCTTCCCCAGAGAGATAACTCGAGGTTCTGCCTACCTGACCTTGCTGCAGGAGCTACATTCTGGACCTTTCCGTTTTGTTGAAACAGTAGTTTTCCTGTTGCGTCCACACAAAACCATCATCCAGAATCCTACCACCCCATCTCTGACTCAGATTTTCATATCAATATCCACAGAATTTGAGACTCCACGAGCAAAGAGGGACTTAGATATAACTAATGCCAGCTCCCTTAGCGGACAGATATGGGCTGTGAGGGTGAGGTCATGGTTCTACACACTCTCCCCTGGAAATCCTCCTGATCTGGGCAGAGGCTTCCTGAACTCACCTTCAGGGTGTCTCAGCAGCACAGTGGCAAGGGATGGAGAGGCATAAGGAAAGTAGGTCTTGAACGCAAACCTCAGCTACAACAGGATCAAAAATTCAAAATGGTATTAGTGTCAGGATTGGAAGAGGTTTTAGAAATTGCAAATCTTGGCTCCTCTGCCCAAAAACAGACCCACTGTACTCAGTCAGAATATTTTCTTAAACAAAAAATTCCAATAACATTATAAATATTACCCAGAAAAACAAACCTTTTAAAAGTCACCTTTTGGGACTTAAGAAAAATGAAGTTATGCTGTTGATGTCTTTACAGGTTCTATACCTCACACAAACCCAATTATACACAAATAAACCTCCCTTTCCAGTCAGAGCTGCCAAAGCAGTTGTGAGCATAAAACATCAAACAACAGTGGTGACCATGCACTCTGAAAACGAAAGATCCATAGCTTCCTGTGCCCCCAAAAGGCAGGGAGGCTCAAGTACTTTTTAAAAAAAAGGTAGAATCTAAACAGCATGAAGTACATCTGCATTAAGTATAGTGTCTGAAGAGAACAGGAGATTGTGTGATCCATGGGACCAGCACCCCACTTAAGACACAGAACACTTCCATCTCCCCCAAAGTGCCTGTGACACCTACAGCCAGTCCTTCTACTCCACCCTGGCAACCAATATTTTGACTTCAATACGAGAGATTAATTTTGCTTATTCTTGAGTTTCAAGTGCATGAAGGCATACTGTATTCTTTTTTATTTTTCCTGGCTCCTTTGGTTCAACATATACCTTTAAAGATTCATCCACACAGCTGGGCTTGGTGGCACATGTAATCCCAGCACTCTGTGAGGCTGAAGCAGGAGAATCACAAGTTTGAGCCCAGCCCAGGCAACTTAGCAAGACCCCTGCTTGCTTTAAATGTACCAATAAAGTTAATGGAGGGAAAATAAGGGGTGGGGGTGTAGCTTAATGCAAAAGTGCTGGGTTTGATTTGATCCCAGTACAGGAAAAAAAAATCCATGTTAGTTCATTTTTTTTTTCCTCAGTAGTCACTGAATGAATAGACCATAGACCATAATCCACTGTCCTGCTGATGAACATTTATATTGTTTCCAGTTTGGGGCCATTATGAATAAGCCTTCAATTAACATTTCTACCTGTGTCTTTGTGGAACTGTGTTTCCACTTCCCTTGACTGAGTACTGTAAGGGGGGAAGTACTGAGTCACGGAAAGGGTGCCGGCTTACACAGAGATAAAGTCTCCCCATGGCTGTATCAGTTCAGACTTCCAGACACAGCCTGTGAGGTTCTAGTTGCTCCATTAGCTTGCCAACCTTGGCGTTGCCAAGCTAATTCATTTCAGCCATTCCTGTGAATGTGAAACATTACTTCACCCATGCCTGCTTTACTATGCATTTTCCTGTTGGCAAATGATGGTGAACAATTTTCCTGTGTTTACTGCCAATTCATTTATCTTGTTTGAAGTATGTGTTCAAGTCTTTTGTCCATTTTTTAAAAGTAGGCTGTCAGGCAGCTGTAAGAGTTCATCATTTGTTCTGGACACAGCTCTCTATTGGACACACATGCTGTGAGTATTTCCACCTGGTGGCTTGCTTGTGCATTTTCTTAAGTGATATCTAGCACAGAACAAATGTTTTAAATTCTACTAAAGTGTAAATTTATTTATTTTTCTTGAATGGTTACTGCTGTTTCTTTTTCAGTATCTCTTCTAAAAAAATGTTTGATTACTCCAACATCAATAAAATATAGTCTGCTATGGGGGCTCCTGGAATCACTGTAGTTTTAACATCTAAATGTGTGGGTTTTTTTTGTTTGTTTGTTTTGTTTTTTTGTACCAGGGATCAAATTCAGGTCCTTGCACTTACAAGGCAGGTGGCAGAACCACTGAGCTAAATCCCTGGCCCTAACATCTAAATGTTGAAGCCTATACCTGCTTCTGTGTGACAGCTGAGGTGAGACGGAGGTTCATTTTTTTCTCCTATGGACATCCAGCTACTCCAGCACTATTTGTTAAACCTTCCTTCCCCTATTTGAATTGACTTTGTCAAAAATCAACTGACTGTCTACATATGAGTCTGTAGCAGGACTGTTCTGATCTATGTCTGTTGTTTTGCCAGTTCCTTACTCTCTTGACTATTATAGTTTTAAGTATTAAAATCTGTTTTGTTTTACTTTTGTTTTTCAAAATCTTCTGGCTATGGTAGATCCTCTGACTTTCCATGTAAGTTTTAGAACTTGCTTGTCAGTTTCTTCTTGAAGGGTGGCGTGGTACTGGGGACTGGACCTATGGACTTTGAACTGAGTAACATTACTAGTGTTTTTAAAATTTTGAGACAACGTCTTGCTAAGTTGCTCAGGCTGAGTTTCAACTTGAAAACTTGTGTCAGCCTCCCAGAGGCATCACAGTATGGTATTACAGGTGTGCACAACCACAACCAGCTTCCATTTTCCATTTTTTAAAAGCCTGCTGGGGCCAACTGGAATTGCATAGAAGCAACTGGTCAGTTTGGCGAAGAAAAGGCACCTAACAGTTCATGAACATGGTTTTGCTTTCCTTTAGTTGCTCTCAGCAATGTTTTGCAGTTTTCAATTAGAAAACGTATATATTTTGTTCTATTCCTAAGTATTTTATGTGTGACTGGATCTATTGCTTCCTTTACCTTGACTAGCTTTTCTCTATTATTAGGCACATGTCCATTTCTAACTGGTACTGCTTCTGATGAATGGACCATTCTGTTATTAGGAAATACTTCCCTTTCTCTCTGGTAAACGCCTTGCATAGAAGTCGGCTTCATCTGCTGTCAATAGATGGGAACAATGTTCAGTTTTCCTATGATTACTGTTTGTATAACGTATCTCTTTTCTTCCTTTTACTTTCTATTATCTGTACCTTTATCATTAGAATAGGCCTCTGGAAAACATATAGTTGGTCTTTTTAAAAAAAATTCTAATCTAATATCACTGCCTTTTTACTAGAATATCTGGTTAAGTTTCACTTACTTTTTGTAATCTATATATGTTTGAGTTTAGGTCCATTTTGTTCATGTGGTTTTATTTGTCCCATCTGTTTCTTCTTTCCTCTGGCAGCCCACAGCTATCTTTCCCCCTTAGGTCAATGGGATCATTCCTGGCTTCCCCCATCACACACAGACACACACACATGGGGTGCAGAAGAAGCAGGCACTTGCTCACAGCCCTGAAGCCTCTCCTGTGTCTGTTTACTTTGTCAGGCCCTTTCTAGTGCCTTCAAATAGATTTCTGAAAATATTCTGCCCTGTTCTATCTGTGGGAGACCTGGTCTAGTCCATGTTCTGACTCTGCCCCTGCTGGAACTTGAACCTGACCTAACTGGCTGCTTGTCCCCAGGACTTCTCCAAGCTCAGAGAAAGTGACTTCTGGGCCACCTGCATCTCTTGCCTACTGACCCAGGGGCACAGCGATGGACAGGGGTGAGAAGAAAGGGCAAAAAGAAAATGAGAAGCAGAGGGCCAGCATTTCTGACCACAGGAAAGAATGTGGATTAAGGAGGCCTGTCTTAAATTGATGCTGGAAGTGTACACAGGCACCCCACTTTCAGGACCCACCTGCCAGGCACTCCTGCTCCTAAGATCTCCCAGACTGTCCAGAGCAACAATGTTGGCAACAGTAAATGAAATCTGGGAGCAACCTAAATGCCCCTAACCAGATCCACAGTGGTAAATCTACAATGGACTACTAGACAGTGATGCTGCACCCCAGCAATCTTTGTAACATGCCCTGTGGAAAGAGCAAGTCTCTAAAGAGAGCGCATAGTGTGCTACTCTCTGTTTTACAAAGTACAAAAACAACCAAAACTAAACAAAACATGGTTTTAATGACTGAAGCTCAGACAGAGCAGAATCACGCCTGGATGAAGTATGACAGGGCCTCAGGCTTCAGGACTACAAGCAGTCTACAGGTGGACTCTCAGGAAGGCTGGGCTCACGAAGGAGACCAGCCGTCAATGGAAATGCAGGGTGCATACGAAGGCCTCTGCAAAGGAAAGAGGTCATTGCTCTCTGTCCTAGTTACTTTTCTTGTTGCTGACACAAAATACTCAACACCCAAAGTTAAAGGAGGAGAGGTTTATTTTGGCTCGTAGTCTGTAGAGGTTTCAGTCCATACTTGGCTAGCTCCAAGGCAGGGTGGCATGGCAGAGAAGAAACAGTTCATGGCAGAAGGCAAGAGGAAGCAAAAGCACCAAGCAGCAAACAACAGCAGCTCTTTCTGTCCTTCCTATTCTATCCAGCTACCTGCCCTTAGGATGCGAAGTGCTGAAATGCAGGGTGAGCACCCTTAACCCTAGCATCTACTACAATCAATCCCAGCATCACATACTGTATAGATTCAGCCACCTCTGAAAATCTTCACCTGTGATTGTGTGAGGCTTTCAGGGAACATCTAGATATCCCATAACACTTTCTTATTTTGAGTAAAGGTGACAGTGATTCTTGTTTCTTTTTGAGCCCCTGGCCTGCCTCACACTGGGGCCTAGTGTGTGGCCTTGATGGGCCTACACTCGTGTGGCTTGGTCAGGATCCCATTCTGTAGAAAAAGCAACTGTGACTCCTTTCCAAATCCACAGCACCCAAGGTCAACGCAGAGAATCAGCAAAGCTGAGAACGAGACTCAAGAGAAGGCTGAAGAGCAAAAACGCTTTCCTCAAATCCTCTGCCCCAAGCTGGGTGTGTCTCAGGAGTCCAAGGTTTGCTGGAGCAGTTTCTAAGTGGGAATATAAAGAATGTATGAGGGAGGACAAAAAAATATTTGTAGTTATGCCTCCAAGTAATTAAATAATTATGAGGGCCAGCCAATGCCTTTCATCCAAGCTTTCCTCCCAAATTCCAGGCTCAGTACCATTGATAACACTATTTGTTATGGTCTAGCTGACTTCCCCAGGGAGAGGGGGATAGGAAAAATAAATCATAAATATTTATCATTGCTTTAGAAAGCAGAAACACCTGCTAAAACCTGAGCAGTTTCTTTGGCATAGGGTGTGTGGGCTTCCAGTAGGGACACATATCCTAAGCTCTGCCCTCATATATCAAATTGCAGAAAGCATCATAAGGGATCAGGTCATTCTGCACAGGCAAGACATGGGCCAGGGCCACTCGGAACAGGCAAAGCGCTACCTAGGCACTGCCTGTGACCGTGAGAAACAAAGGACAACTACAATGCCCAAAGGTGAAAGCTCTCTGGCAGAAAAGTTCCTGTTCCACACAGTCACTCAGTAAACGGCCTTTGTCACCGGGCACAGTAAAACTGCTCAGCCTCTACCAACAGGGTCCCAGAGTCCTCTGCTGCTGTGTTTTACATCTAAAATGTCAATCTGTGTGGAAGGTGATCGATCACGGGGTGCCTTATGAGTCAGCCGATTCATCCACTGATGAGTTCATTACTGAATGTGCTCTTGGAGGTAGGGCCTGGTTGGAGGTGGGTCACTGGGGGTGTGGCCTACAGAAGTACTTTGCTGTCCCTGGCTCCTCCCTTCTCTCCTTGCTTCCTGGACACGTTGGGATGAAGCCCCTTGTCCTCTGATCCTCAAAGACAGCCAATCCTGAACTGAACCCATGAGGCAAAATAGCCGTTCTTCTTTTAAGCTGTCGAGTGTACATTTTGTCCCAGCAACAAGAAAGTGCCTAAAGATATCTGCTTCACTGATGGCATCGGACACACTCCCTGGTCCTTCTCTTCTTTGCTCCTCCTCTACAGTTATTTAGACATTTCCCTGTCCTTGTTTACCCATCTTCTTTCTCTCCTCAGTCCATTCAGGCTGGGCCTCTGATGGGAACAAAGATGCTAATCACTAAGAAGGGCCAGTACTGCTTTTTGATAAGTAGCATCTCAGGCTGGAGATTTAGCTCAGTGGTGCTGCCGCCTGCATAGCAAGCACAAGGTCCCAAGTTCAATCCCCAGTACCAATAAACAAATAAACAAACAAATAAATAAATAATAAGTAGCATCTCCTACTTAGCACACTGTAGTTAGGCTCCAGGATGCCTCTAGGATGCCTCTTGCTGGCTGAGGCTCAGGTGCAGCCAAAGGGGCAGATTGTATAACACAAGGCAAGGGAATCAGCTCTGGGTTGACACATACTGGTACAAAAGGACTCAGATACAGCAGTAGACAGAAGCTTCTAAGCACTAGGGCCTAGGGCAGACAGGAACTACTCCGACTCATTTTCAATTAAAATGGTTTAATCTTTGCTAGGGCATTCATCTGAAAACTTTCTTTTTGAGCAAAACAGTCTGTCAAGATTCCTAAACATAGGGCTAGGGTTGTAGTTCAGTGACAGAGTGTGTGCTTAGCATGGATAAGGTTCTGGATCTAATCCCCAGCAGCATAAAAATAAACTAAACAACCAAACAAGATTTCTGAAAATAAAGTGTTACTTTCAGGCGATTAGCCAAATACTCTTAATAGCCTCTTTTTCTGTGGGGTTAATAGGTAATACATGCAATATAACAAACCTGCTTGTTTTCTTTTTCCAGAGCTTCTACAAAGCAGCGTGTAAACACCTGAGTAACAGCTAGTACTTCTGGGGCTCCATCAGTTTCCAGGAGTGCACACCTGAACAACGCCAAGCCAGAACACAACACAATGAATCATTAAGACGGCAAACCCACCCACCTGAACTGGAATGAAAAGAATGGAACCACTTTTTGTGCCTTAACCTTCAGCAGTGAAGGCAGAAGGAATCTGTTATTCCCTTTTCTTTAAATCGAAAGGTACAGAGCTCTGCGCTCTCTGTCTCTGTTCTTGAATCGCTAAGTACTGCACCGCCTTTGACTTAGTCTGCACCCTTTTCACAGCTTTTCTGTACTGTAGGCCAGGACATGTGACATCAGCATATATTTTGCTTTTGTGAGTAGTGACAGAGCTGCCTGAAAGGGCAAAAATTACTCAGTCAAACCCAGCACAGAGCTGAAGAATCCAGGTGTACCTGGATCGGTTTCCAAGCATTTTCATACAATTAACTTTTCTTTATGTTTGTTTAAGCAAAAAAGCCAACTCAAACTTGGCTAGCTTTAACTTAGAAACGTACTCCTGCCTTCTTATTTCTGTGGTCATTTATAAGTGGCTTATGGTTGGTCTCAAGAAGGTTCCAAGTGGTGAGTAATTCGTTGTTATACAAATTCCTTTCCACAGGCCTGCCCTGGGTAGGTAGAGCAGGGTGGAGGCAGATCTCCACCCAGATTCCCAGTGCCCAAGAGGCTGCAAATAGTAGTAGGCAACAAGCTCCCCCAAGGGATCAGTATTAGGACTACATGGCTGGTACCTCCATGCCACAATCTAAACCAGTATGCAGGGACCAGCCTGCCTCTTACCCATTGTGAATCCAACATACTTCCCAGGATGGACTCACACTGTCAAAGTAAAGTTAACATGTTGTAAGATAACACGCGTCTTTCACTCTGCTTTTCAGAAAAAAATCTGTTAAGAATGGCTTTGTGTTGCTTTTTCTTGGCTTTCTTTAGCTTGAAAAGTCTTTTACGAAGATTGGTCAGCCCTCATGTGGTGAAGGGAGCATACTGCTACACTTTATTCTGAGCTGAGAAAAATCCTGCCTATTTCATAATAAAAATATGTAATTCAATCTGCTTTTCTGTATTATTATTAGAATTTTTAAAGGTTAAAGAAAAAAGTCATCTTAATTCTTAGGCATAGGCTTTTAAATATATATTGATTTTGAGTTTCTACCCCTAATCAAAAGCTCAGTGAGATAAGGAATAAAAACTTCTAACTTCTCCATGGTGAAGCCAGAGTCTACTACAGATTTTTTTATTCAAGTTTGGAAGCTTAGCATTTTTAGATCAACTACTAGCAGAAATAGCAGAATATTTACCTGAACATTTCATCAACAAGTCTGAATATGGCAGGGTGGCAGGCTGCTTGAGGCTGTAAAACAGAAAGACCATAAGGAAGTAAAACATTAAAGATATTTCATAAGAACTTGCAATTATTGGGTGGGTGAACTGTTCAGAACTGCCATATAGAGAATGGGCATATATCTTTAGGTGAGAAAAAGAACAATTGGTATGGGGGACAGGTAAACATGAAAACAGTAGTTCTCTTTGGCAAGGTATTATAGGCAAGCTTAGTTTTCTCTTTTTACTCTTGGATGTCCCACATTTTCCATAATAAGCCTGTATTATCCAGGAAAAAAAAGTTTACTGGCAATTCTTTTACCACTATGTCAGAGTGAAGACACAGAGCCTACCCATGTTACTAATTTTCCTTACGTGTGCCCCTGTGTCTGACCTCAAGTGGCCTGGAAGTATCTCAAAGTCAGGGATCTGTCTGCCTTTTGTTCCTGGGCATTTGGCAGAGTCCGTAATCATTTAGAATTATTACTAAGGAAACCAGTAATCCCTGCCACACTGGACTAAATAGCATCATATTTAGTACGCTATTAATTTAGCAGCTTCAACTGTTAGTATGAAGAGGGTTAATGAGAGGGAAAAATGATACCATTATCCTGAATGATGAAAGGTATCTAGCTTCTTAGACTATTTTTGTAATCCGCAAAAGCTGGTCTGTGACCTGGGTGAGGGCCTAAAAAAGTTTCATCTTCTTTGGCCAGAGCTCAAAGCAAGAGCTGATGCAGATGCCCATGTGTTATAAAACAGATATCTTACGGTAGCATCCAAATGTTAGTGTGATAGGCTGTAAAGGGGATTTCTTCAATCATATTACACTTGGTACAGCTTTGTGAAACATCTTTTACAGTTTCCATCAACAAGGTAAAAGAAGACACCTTTTTGGACTTCCCTGAAGAAAGCATGCGGTCACCCCTGGGGCTTCCCGCTTTTTTACTGGTGCTGCAATTTATGACATTGAGTGCGCGCCATCTAGTGCCTGCAGGTCGCCACTACAGGCCTCAGAAGGCTCCAGGCAAGAGCATCACGCCTGGTTCAAATGATGGGGTGATGGCTTTCTTATTTGAAGGAGAGATTTGTAATTTGCAAGTTTAAATATATTGACTCTAAATAGTGATCCATGACCTCTAATCCTCCAATGATGTGCATTTTTATCTAAGAGACCTAAAATTCTCAGATAAATGTATCATCAACTTAAGAATGTAACTCAGCAGAGCAAAGGCAGGTTACTCTTTGACTTTGATCTCAGCCAGTCAGTTAATCTTTTTGCTTCTAATCCTCACTGTAAATCATAACAGTTATTAAGAAGTTACTGGATACATGCCCAGAAAAATACCATAAAAGTTTCAGTGTTTTCATAATGGTGAAACAAACAAACAAACAAACAAGGGAAAAGAAGACTGCAAGTCTTAAAAGAAATATAATTCAGCGAAGTATGTCAGAACATACTTTTTCCAAGTTTCTGTAGAAAAGTGTTTAATTTCCAACAATACTGCTATGTGCCCACAGGCAGATGGGACAGTCAGAGCTTGAAAACACAGATAGAAAATAAGATCACAGCCAGGTATGGCGGCGTGTGCCTGTAATCCCAGCACTCAGGAGGCTGAGACAGGAGGGTCACTGGGAGTTTAAAGCCAGCCTTGGCTAGATAATAAGTTCAAGGCCAGACTGAACTGCATAGTAAGACCCTGTCTCAACTGCATGCCCTCTGCAAAGAAAATAAGAATGGAGTTGGAAATGGTATAATAAAACAACTCTAAAAGGCCTAAGTACAAGAGAGCCCCTTTGCAGGTTGGGTGCTTCTGAGGATCACTCTAAATGGCAAAGATGAACGTCCCAAGAGGCAGACTGGGGCTGCCGTAAAACCACAGTGGGGAGCAAGTATAGAGATTCTTATTCTTTCAGGACAGAACTAGAGGTCGGACACACTTTGCTCTTATGTAGTGTTTTCTAGCAAAACAGCTCGATCTAATGTTGCAGATGTCTCCAGGCTGTGTAGAATCTGCCTGTTCTCTTCATGCAGATGGACTCTCCATTTAGATTTCTTTCTTTCCAAATATTTCAGACCCATGGTTACTCTCAGCCTGGTTCCACAACCTGTCTTTGCTTTTATATCAGGGAAGAGGCCAGGGTATCCGGGCTGTTCCCTGCTGCCTGCATGCTTTAGAGGCAGTTAAGAAAGAAAGAAAAATAAAAATGAGACTCTACTTCCCGAGCACATAATTTCAGGGTCAGTGAGCACCTCACAAGGATCAGAGTACTCCTAGGCAAGCCATGTGTCCCTGTGACATCAAGTCACAAAAGCCCACTTAAACTGCTCTTATCAAAAGAGTCTTCCAAACAAAATTACAATTTAAATATACTTCTCTGGAAGCCATAGCTCCCCCTAAGTCTCCACAGTGTCCCTGTGAGTGACGAGGTAAACATTGAACCTCTCTGTACTCTATTTGTCTAGTGGGACACTCTGGCAACACAGTACAGGTCACTCTGCAGCCCAAGGCTGTGGACCCCAGTTCTGAAGCCCATGTTCTGCATGATTATCTTTCCTATGAAAATGAAGAATGGAAAGAAAAGCTCTCTCAAGTTTCATCTACTCATCTGTTTTTCTCCATCCCATCAAGATTTCTTCCTTCTCAAGCTCTCTTCTCCATCTGGCCTAACTATTTTCATGTAGATCATTTCAAGCAAACTGTCAGCAGAAGTCCATCAGTGAGCTGAGTTTTGTCCTCCCGCCCCCACTTCTTTCACCCTACGTGGGAAGACAAAGAGATGACTCTGAGGGAGAGCTGCTCTTTACCTTCTTTCCTCAGGACCAGGCTGCTCTGTACTCTATGGCTGATAAGACACTTCCCCTCCAATCTATCTACCAGCTGCCAATTAGCTACCACAGCTGCTCAGAACTGTTATGTTTGCCCCTCTCTGCCTAGAAGGACAGCCCATTCGCATCCCTCAACAAAACCAGGGAAGACAAAATCAGTGCAGAGGAAATTCACAATAACAATGTTAGTTAGCTCTTCCTGTGTTTGGAGGAAGAGGTGAGGGAGAGGCCAGCTTGCCATTTTGTAGCATGAAATGTAAAACAGCACAGATTCATCAGCTTGGACACTGATAATTATTTAATCGGCCATTTTCATCCCAGCTCATCAATGATTATCACGTCACCTGCTGCTTGCAAGAGTCCTTAGAACCAGGTTGATGGCACATGGCTGTAATCTCATCTACTCAGGAGGCTGAGGCAGGAGGACTGAAAGTTCAAAGCCAGCCTGGGCAACTAAGTGAGACTCCATTTCAAACATTACCGAAACAAACAAACAGGCTCAGGATGTAGGTCAGTGGCAGAGGACTTGCTTAACATGTGCAAGATTCTGGGTTAAATCCCCAGTACCCAGGGTGAAGCAGGAGAACACAGGAAGTTTTCAGGGAAAAGTAGTTCTTGTTTTCTATAGTCTTCTGATTGTGTGTGTTGGGTATGTGTGTGGGGATATTCAAAAGTGAGGAAATAGGGAAAAAGAGAAAGGAAATCCTGAAGTCTTTTTCACCCTTTATAGACTTATTCCCCTTTGAAATTAAGAGAGAAAAGGCAGATGAGTGAGAAAATGATGAAGTTCAGTAAGCTTGGAATCAATTTTCTTTTTATGGCCTATTTTAGTATTCTATGCAGGAAATGGTCTTTTGAAAAAAATTAGCTGAGGCTTTCCCTCCAATTTACCCACTAGCCAGGCCACTCTGTCCTGTGTTTAGCCAAGTCTCCCAAACCACTGTTATCTTGCCAAGGGGAAGCCCTTGTTAGTGTGTTTGTGTGTATAAATTAAAAGGAGACTATATTCACCACAAAATATTCTGCTTTAAAAAGTCTCCTTAAGATCTATCTCAACAGTAAACTCCCCTATAGAGTTAAATGATTTGTGTTTTTAAACCTACTTATTAAAAACCTTCACATGTATCATATAAAATAAGGCATCTTTATAAATATGTATTTTTCATTATGCCATTTTCCTCTTTTCTGTTTTCAAAATGCTAAATGCAAAACTGTAAATATCCCTTTTACATTTTAGGATCTATTTTGTTTTAAAACATTCAAGTTTCTTGCAACTAATTTCAGCTTGGAAGAATTATTGTTTCTTTTAATCTTTCCCAGATGTTGTTTATATTACAAGGAATTTTTTTTCAGTGCTCCGTAATGCAATTATTGTTTAATTAGTGATAAATCTGTCATTCCTGGGCTTAAAAACTTAACAAGTACCAAATGTACTTTTGTGTTTTAAATTTACACACATTCTCTGGGTGTTAGGATACAGGAGTGGGAGGTGCACATCATGGGTACCCAGCTCTGATGCTGGACAAGAATCCCCTTGAATCTGGTCCCTGTCCTGATGCAAGGCCTCTACCCTCTTAGCTTGTGGAGCAGGAGTGGGAAGAAAGAGCCTCAGCCCCATTACTGCTCATCTTAGCCTCTGGGTGGCAATGACTCCCTACATCCACTATGGGTTGGCTTTTGTTTGTTTGCATATTTTCTGCCCGCCCCCTCCCCAAACCAACCTCTGATTGGCTGCAAAGTCCTGCATCCCCAACAGTGAAAACCTATCTTGCAATTTGACTTTCTATAGAGATAATGCTGGGGCATCTGGTGCCCTCCTGAGGTGGACACTGGAAAGGGAAGCTGCTGGCTAGGCTGTAGATCCTGTAGCTTTCAGTCACAGACACTTTCCTACTTGACCACTGCTAAATCATCCACTTCAACTCATGTTAAATTACATGCGTCACATTAAAGAGCACAAAAAGGAAATGCTAAGACTGCTAATGAAAAAATAGAATAAGAAAACCCTAGAGCATGAGTGAAAAGCTATTCATACACAGAAACCAACACCATCCAGGATGTAGAGTTAACTCTTCACAGAAGGGGAACTCTGCATAGGGATTTGGTGAAAAGAGAGTCTTTTTGTTTTCCTTTAGAAGTGTCTACAACACTATCTGGAGAGCAGGGAAAAAGAACACTTTCTAGCTCATGCTGAGGAGTATGTTGAGGTATCTGGATACTTTTACATTCATTTTAGAGGAAAAATATTTTTTATTGAAGTACGAAGACTTTCAACAAGGAGAATCATTGAATATCCTCTGGTTTAAAATCTGGATAAAGTGAAAACAAATTCAATCCTTCACCCTCGGTGCTTTGCCCTGGCCTTCCTTATGCTCCTCTCCCTCCAGGGCAGATGGGCCTCAGAGAGCTGTCCATCAGCTGTGGTGGCTGCAGCAGGCGGGTGGGGTCAGCCCGCCAAGGCGCGAGGGAGGGCGTGGGAACCAGGGAGCCCCAGCCTGGCACACAGCACAGCACTACAGCCAAGTCCAGGGCCATCCTGCCACCCAGCCAGCTCTTTTCATTCAAATGTGGAGTCCAAACAATAGCTTTCTGGGCTCTGCAAACAGAATTGTAACAGGGAAACACAGCATCCTTCTGATGCTGAGCCAGCCTTGGGAAACTGACTAGTGCCAAAAAAAAGTTGCATAATTAGCAAATGGCTTTCGCTGTTTTCAGTGACATCAGTCTGTAAGGTCAAGCCTGAGGCTGCGGATTGTGGTCCTCCAGTGCCTGTGCTGTCAAGGGAAACACAGAACCATCTGTTTTTGAGAAGTTTCCATCTGCACAGCAAATGACAGACTGGGGTTAATACCTCAATTTATTTGGGGGGACACCAACTGCAGCCAGCAGCCATGTACTTGAGGATAGTCCAGTCCGTGAAAGCCAAAGGTTGAGCTCAAAAGTAACAGGTTTTGAAAACATATTTGAGAAGTTTCAAATTTTAGAATAAATATATATGCATTTAGAATTCAGGTGACATTAGACTGCTCTTTTTTTTTGGTACCAGGGATCAAACTTGGGTCCTTGTGCTTGCAAGGTGGGCATAGACTGCTCTTATTATCCACCATCTTAATGGAAAATACTGGGCCCCTGAGGTCCCTGAAAGGGCAAGAAACATTTGGAGAGGTCATTTCCCTTTGTGTAATACTTTTATCTTTTGTTCTTGCTACGTTTTGGTAACTATAGAATCTCTAGGACTCATTCGAGATAGTCCCAAGAGATGGAAATATAATTAACAGTGTTCCATATAAAACACAAGTTACGTAGACCATCACACTTTAATTGCTCTCAGGATCTGACTCTAATGTAATAGGCATCAGGTTCCCTCTGCAGCAAAGCACAGCAGTCTTGTGCTGGGCCTCATAGATCTCTCTGATACTTCTGTACGGGGCTGTCACTGAGCAGAGATGCTGCACTGCGATAAATGAATCAGATGATGCAATTAGGAAGCAGGTTCTTCAGGTTACCCTGCAATCACTCAGCCTGCCTAGCTCTCTGCACAGTGGGCCCTGGGTGCTGGAGGAGTACAGCCCCTGCCAATGGGGGCTTCCAGCTCATTGTCTGCGTTGTAATTACCTCCTCAAAACAAGAGGCACAGAGAGGTCACATCCTGTCAATGCCACAATAAATTAAACCAAATAACACCCTCTAGAATCCCCTTTAACCGTAATAAAAGCTCTGAATCTCTACACACATGCTCCTGATAAATGCTTTGAAAAACGAACTGACTTCGAAGCTGTTTGATGGAGGGAAGGTTATGGAAACTGAAGACTGTGCGACATGACGTCTAAAGAGAAGGGCTGCTTTCTCTTTCTCATTGGCTGTGCACTGCTCAGGTCCGAGTTCCAGGTAGAAAGAACGTGGAGACAGTCCAGAGAAAAACCACAAGGATCAACAAAAGATAGCAGAAAAGTCAGTGTCCCTCAAGTGTCCCACTGAGAGAAAACTTAAAGACAATGTACTAAGCACCCTGGAAGCAAACACCCAGTTACTCTTTTACCACTGAAAAACAATCAGAGAAAAAGTAAATTAGAAAGAAAAATTTTTGAGAGGTCATTTATTGCCTTAAATAATCTTGGAAAGGGCTGTCAGAAAGCTTCCAAAGTTTTTATTTTAAATTGTAATAATTTTTAAATAAGGTACATTTTTACTTCTCGCCTCAAAATGTGACTCTTACCAATCATGATGTCAATCAGTAATTATCCCTAAAAATATAGCCTCTTTCGGCCCTCTCAACCCTAACATATACCTGTCTTCCTTTCATTTTTCCTATCAGACACTAAACTTTCAAGTCACTTGCGTCCAGTCTGGGTCACCATCAGGTGCCTTATCAGTGCAGGTGAAGCACTGGCTACTCCTGCCTCTGGGCTGCCACTGGGAACACAGCCCCTGTGAGCTTCCACTCCGAAAGGCACTGGAGGCACTGCCTGAGTTAACCGGAGCATTACTTAGGGTTAGGGTTAGTGAAGGGTAGTGTGAACCTGTCCCAGCATTGCCTTGAAGTGCTGGGTCTTCCAGACCACTTGGACACTTATTTCACAAATATACAGTGTTTGGTTCATTACTAGCGCTGCATGTTAGACTAATTTTGTTTCACCTTTGTAGGGGAAAGAGCGGACAGGGTCTTGCGAAGTGGGCCTTGAACTCCTAGGCCCAGGTGATCCTCTTGCTCCAGCCTCCCAAGTTGCTGGGATCACAGGCATGCCACCCCCACATTTAACTTCTTTTATCTATTTTCATATATTCCTTTTTCTTACTTTTAGTTGTTCTGCTTTTGTGTGTCTTTCAATAAAACCAGCTCATTTGGAAACTATCTTTGCCTTCCCTGGTTTGTCATGTGATTAAAGGATAAAAAGACCTATCCCTTTTGGAGGAAATAATCTGCAAGGTGAAACTGTCCCTAGGTCTTTGGGGAACAGGGCCACGCTGGCTCATCCAGCGAGACATGTAATTTAAAAATATTTCTTTCTTGGGTACACTGGTCTTTTGCTCCTGTTTTTACAAAATGAGTGCTGACTCCACAGAGCTTCCTCCCACGGAAGGGAGACACCTTGTCCAGCCGTGCCGTGATGCTACTGACAAGGCAAAGTGGCCCTGGTGACGGCAGAGTCCTCCACCTCCCAGAGCTGAGGGGAAGGGAGACAGGAGCCACCAGAAGGGGAGGTTGCAAGGCTGACAGCCTTACCCCAAAAACTCACAGAAATCTTACGGTTTTTGTTTGTTTTGTTTTGTTTTTGGTACAGGAGATTGAACTCAGGACCTCGTGCTTGCAAGGCAGGCAGCGGCACCACTGAGCTACATCCCCAGCCCTCTTAGTTGTTTTTATTGCTTTAATCATTTTTCTGGGGGTTTGTTTTGTTTCTCTTGAATATTTTATTTTTTCCCTAGTAAAAAGCTGAGCTCATTTTCTGCACATTTTTGTTAACTGATTGCTACTGTCCCTTGTCTTCAGTCTCAAAAACTTACTCCTCGTGTTGACACAAGAAGTATTACTTTTAAAAAGCTTGTGGCCCTGGCCTTTTCCAGCACCTTTGGGCACCCCACTCCACGTTCAGCAAAGACACAGGGCCAGTGAAGGACAGAGCTCAGTCACTCTTCCTGTGTTAACATCTGCCTGTGGGTGGTGAGAAGGCAGGTTGCAGGGCTCAGCAAAAGTAACTGATGCATCACCTCAGAGAGAATCGTGGGGAACCTGCCAATCCAGCATTCCTTTGGGGAACCTACCCCCTCGAAGACTGTTGTCCAAATATGTGATACAAGGTGCAAGAATCCAGCAAATCTCGAACCTCTTCCCGTGTGTGCCAAGTATGTAGACAAGCCACAATGTTAGGTGTTTTCAAACTAAAATGTAACCACATGATTATTTTTAAAGTTCCAACACTCTTTTGTCTGTATCCCTCCCATTCGTTTTGTTCCTTAACTAAAAGAAATGATTTCCAGCAGCTCTTCTCAGGCCTTTCTCATCACCAAAGCCCAGCACATACCAGCAATGAGTCTTTTATAAAGCACTCAATCCTTCTCAGACAGTTTCTCTCACTGGGAATCAGCTTTGCAAAAAGATGCAGCATTGCTTTTTCAAGGCTGGGAAGATGCCGAAGCCAGAGGCTGACTACAGCTGGTGTGGGGAGAGAAATCTTCTTCCTTTCGGCGAGAAACAAGCGAAATGTTAGACAGAAATGGACCCTGAAGGAAGATGACCGACAATATTCAAAATGTAATTACTAATCCAATTTGTGCAGCTATTCCCCATGTTCTGGTAGCTGTTAACATTTATTTTATCTGTGATTATTTATTATAAACTCATTTGCAAAGCAATGTAACTATGCTTTCATTTCAATTCACCTTAAGAAATCAGAGAAATGCTCAAGAAAAATGTACTTTCAGAAAGGATAAGCAAATATATGCTGAAGAAAAAAAAAGAGAATGATAAAACAAATTACTTGAAAAAAGCCTTGCGATGTCCAGGTAAATGTAATCCCCAACTTGAGAAAGAGCTGCTTTGATAGTTTAAAGTGTGGAATCCCACGGCCATGACCTATTATCTGTATGATCTTGGGGGAAGTTACTTAACCTTTAAACTCACTCTAGTCATCTGTATAATGGGCCTGCCTCCTTCACAGCACCATAAGAATCTAATGTACCTACAAGTGTACAGTCAGCACACTTGAGTATTCAAAACTCTATTTACAAATTTGTTGTTTGAAAGTCAACAAATGATTTTGTTAACAATTTCACACATCGTAATTAGGGTCTAGTTAATGTACAGAGGACCTTAAGTGCGATATGCCACAGACCCAACCATTCTGTGCAGCAATGCTTATAGGGGGTGGGGGTGGGGGCTCTTGTGTCAGTCATGTGGGGCTTTACTTCCCCTCCTGGGAGGGGCATGAAGGAGTCTTACATTCCAAGCACTGGCTCTGAAATGGCCACAGAGCTGGCCTACAGGGCGTCCTGCCCTTCCTGCCCCATCCCACACAACTGGTCCTTTGAAGGCTCCCTGAAGATGCTCACCACTGTTAATAAGGAAGCTTGAACTGGGAGAAATCTCCTCACCACCCAAAGACCCTTCAGAGCCTGTCCCCTTGTCATGAATCCGGGGCCACTTTGCTGCATGAAGCCCAGGAATGGGGATGGGGTGGGGCAGGATCTATCCCCAAGGGCTTCTCCCTTTTCCTCCCACAGGCCTTGTTCTGGATTTACCCTGGGCTACAAACAAAATGAAAGGTGGGGGGAACACTGGAGGAATAGTAGAGGGCAGAAGGAAGGAGGGAAGGGCAGAGCTCCTTCCCCGTTCTCCCTAACCCCACACCTGGCACAGAACTGCCACAGCGTTCACACCCCTCAGAGTGGAGAAAAGGGCAGAAGAGATTTGTGAAGGGTTTACCAACAGCATGGTTTGGCATGTGTGGGTTTACTGTGGGAGGCACAGGTGAGCAGAGACATCAAATATATCCTTAAATGTCCAAGATCTGGCTGAAGGCACACATCTGGGAGGCACTGTGGGTGGGTATGCACTCAAGGGAGAGGCTCCCAGTGGGACAGCCCAGGAACACCAACACTGAGGTGTCAAGCAGAGGAGGAGGGTGACACGGGCAGAGGAGATCGTCATCAGAGCTCAGAAGAGGCAAGACTTAAGAAGGAAGGGCCAGCTGAGACCAACACTATGGAAAAGCTTTGAGGCTGGCTATCCAGGCTGGCTCTGGGTGGAACCAGAAGAGGGTGAGTGCAGGGGAGGGACACTGGGAGGTAGTCTGTGGGGTGCCCTGGGAGGTGACTTTTTGAAGACCACATGGCTCATTGCTGATGGGCAGGATAGTCACTGCAGCAGTACTGTAAAGACACCAGATTACAGTCCATTTGCTTCAAGGAATGTGCTCCTGTTTTTAAGAAATGAGGTGGATCTACATCCCACTGAAGAAAATCCAAAGAATATTGGTTAACAAAAAAGTTCCAGAGATAGGTAGGGGTGACACACTATCTTTTGTTTTTAAAAGCTACTTTAAAAAGATAGAAAATTTCTGAGTGCAGTGGTGCATACCTATGAATACCAACTACTTGGGAGGCTGAGCTAGGAAGATCAATCCTCGACACAGGAACAACTTTATATAAGAAAAGCTTTATATAAGACTGTAGGGCATGGCTATCAAAATACTGAAGAATGATGAGGAGGAGATATTTAATAGTTTCTTTACATACCCTGATCATACTGTTTGATCCAATAAAATAAATATACACTCTGTGGAAATTTCAGAGTCAATGAGGTAAAAAATAAAATGAAATGTTTTTAGGGACACAAAAAAGTTTCATTCTCTTCAACATGTGTTAGTTGTAGAAACTCTTAAATTTGCCCTTTTTCTGAGCTATATTTGTTCTACTGTCAGGACAATGATGAAAAGGATGAATTCAAGGGAAATAGGAGAAGATAAAACTTTGGCCCCCCACTTCCTACCTAATTATCAGAGGCATTTTCTGTACTATAGCTATGTTTTAGATAATAAGAAGGGCATTCTGGGATTTATGCATAATGTACTACAATTTCCCCCTCAAGTAATGAGGAATAGACTCCTGGTTGATGTTTTCACATTGAACACCTAGTTTTTAAAAAGTGAAGATTTCTGACAAGCAAGAAAAGTCCAAATACGACAATTTCATTGCTGTGAGACTTTCAGACAGATGTTTTCCTGACATTTAGAAAACTCACAGTGTTTCTCCAAAACACTCAGTGTAGTAAGGTGGTGACTTGCCCCAGTTCTCTCCAAACAGAGGCAGTAGGGAGAGAAATTGGTCCAGCTGCTTATTAAATAATTTTGGCTCCAGTTTTTTTTATAGCTACCATAAAACCCCCAGAATTGCAGAATTAAATTCTCCCTAAGAAAGGTTCCTGAGAGGCACCCTTCAGAGGGCTATGCTCCAACTTCTAAAGCTGTCTGGGGAGGGAGACTGCGGCGTCCCCAGCCAAGATGGACACATCCGTGACAGCCTACTTTTCTAGCCAGGGCTGTCTGAGCTGCTAGGGAAATCTATTAAAATCATTACCATTTGTTCCGGAGAATTGCATAAGACCAAGGAATTGGAAAGAATATTTCATTTCATTCTAAAGGTACATTTACATGGTAACCTGACCTAAGACATGCACCACACTTGAGGAAACTGTCATTGTTATCTGTATGGGTAGAGAAGCCTATGTCTCAAAACAAAGTGTGGAAGCTACCAAGAGGATGAAATGCCCACCCCTCCAAAAATTTCTAATGGTTCCAAATCAGGACCTGCAGATTTTTATATGAAAAAATTTTCAATGACTGGTTTTGTAACTTTTTTTTTTTTTGGTACTGGGGATTGAACCTGGGTCCTTCTGTTTGGAAAAAAGGCGACAGAACCACTGAGCTAAATCCCTGGTCCTATGACATTTTATTAAGGATGAAAGAAGATAAAGAGAAACAGTGAGAACATAGGAAATCTCAATCAATGAAAAAAAAGAGTTTTAGTTACTAATTCTTTGCCTCCTTTTTGTCCTTGGACACTGCTCTTTCTTCCTTCCAACATTCCCTTGTATTGACATTTAAAGAATGATTTTTCAGAGTTGAAAAACCACAAAACCAAAAGCAACCTTTTAAGTTATTCTTTGATTTTTTAGAATCTCATTTTTCCAATTTATAAATGGGTATTGTAACTGTAAGGGAATTTTAAATAACCAGTGGCTCCTCATATTAATTCCTGAAGCTCTCAAGGGACTTCCAAGAGTCACTTTCTTGGCCTAAATACTGGTATGGTAGAAAGGTCTTATCGTGAATAACAAAAGATGCTCCTCTCACTCTGACAGGTTAGCTTGTTCTTGTTTTTGTAATCTGACATAAAAAAGCACCCTGATGAGTAAACTACTCATTGGAAAATTATTCAAAGAATATAAATGAGGTTCGTTCATTGGCTAATTCTTTTCTTATTAAGCATCTTTGGAAGCCATATTAATTCTTCTGGTATTGGGAATTTGGCTTATAGTGGCCTTTGTTTGGGACCTTTTATTATTAGAAAATGATAGGATCTTGAGGAAACTTCAAACACTGTAAAAATAATATAACTATCATTAAAATCAATAATAATAACAGCAGGCCAGGCTACTAGTTACTGAGTATTTCTTCTGGGCACCAGGCTCTGTGCCTAGTAGATACTGGACTCACTAAAATCTTAGAAGAACATATGTACCAGTTTGCCTGGGACAAGTTCATAATTATAAATGGGAACCCTCAGAAGTGTTGCAGTCTAGATGCTAAGTTATATGGTCATCCTATTTAACACTTACAGCTACCCCATGTTAGTTGGCTAGCCAGTCATTCCTACTATCAGAGAGTCCTTTTTTACACAGAACACTTTTCATACCAACTCTGTGGGAACCTCTCCCTAACACCAACCAGTTCTCTCTCTAGAGACCAACTGAGTAGCCAGTGATTCAATTTGGTTCTGATACTACCTACGGAGGGTTAGTGCAGACCCTAGGATTAAAAGCTCAATCTTACAAATGTCTTTTACTTCAGATGACAATTACAAGGCTGGGCCTCCTTATCGATTTGCTGTAAGTCAAAGGTTCCTCCTTCTTCAGGTTTGATAATTTGCTAGAATGGCTCACAGAACTCAGAAAAGCACTTTATTTACTGTTACCAGTTTATTATAGAGGATGAAACTCAAGAATGGCAAATGGAAGAGAACACAGACCCAGCTGGGAGGGATTTGGAGCATCTCAGTACAAGGTATACCACCCTCCAGCACCAATCCAGAGGCTCTTTAAGCCCCATACATTAGGGAGCTTCATGGAGGATTCTTTGTGTAGCTTGACTGAAACATCACTGCCACAGTATGCCAAGTTCTGAAAGTCAGGCGTGGGGCTCAAAGTTCTACCCTTTCAATCACATAGTGGCTACCAGCCCCAACCTGAAGCTCTCAGGGGCCTCCAAGAGTCACTCCTTTGGCCTAAATGCAGGTATGGTGGAAAAAGCTTATCATAATAACAAGAGGCGCTTCTTTCTTCCCGACTCTGAAGATTTTAAGGTTTTAGAAGCTTGAACAAAGACCAAATATACACTTCTCACTATGTCAGAGTCTCTGAGTCATGTGTTCATTCCTTCTCCCATTTCTCCATGGTTCCTTCA